CCCCCCGCCTCAGCCTCCCGTCACCCTCCGCCCCTCCCTCCAGCGCGCCCCCCCGCAAACCGCAAGTCCCATGCTCACCCGCCACCCGCCACCCGCAACCCGCCCACTTGCCCCCCCCCCCCAAAAGGACGATCTGGTGGTGACTGTCATGGAGCCGGGCCTCATAAATGACGAGCTGGGGACCCTCACCATCAAGCTGCCAGACGTGTTGGACTCGACCATGGTGGGCTTTGACCGACGTTTGACCGACCGCACCCGGTATTGAATGATGTGCACCCGTGATTCCCCATTTGTTCAACATTGCACACTTGCTGCCGTGCTTGTCACATGGCTGACTTCCAAAGGGCACGTTTGCTGCCTTCCGCATCCGCCCCTTCCTGTGTCGCAGCCACCGGCTGGCCCTTGCTCCCGCTGCCCTCTCTTGGGCACCTCATGGCCGGCCGCGGCTGGCCTGCACCGCAGCGCACCGCACCGCCACCGCCGCAGGCCTGCGCCATGCACCCAGTTGCGCCGCGCCTCGGCCCCCCGCACCCACTCACGCCCACCCGAAACGCCACTGCACACCCCCCCCCCCCCAGGTGTCGCGGTGGACTGGGCAGGAGCAGGCGGGCTACCTCCACAAGACACTGCCCCTGGGGGACGGCGACGGCGGCATGCTCGAGATCGAGGTCGAATTCCTGCCGTGAGTCGCGCGCCGGCATGCCGCACACCCGTTGTGGCGTCCTCGCCCTGTTCCCACACGTGGCAAACAGTTTGCTTGGAGGCGGCGTGGTTGCAGCCCAAGCTCTGGCCATGTTGCAGAGCCGGTTTGCTGCTTGCTGTTGGGGCGGCCGCCCATGGTGGCGCCCTGCAAGAGGGCCTTGCCGCCCCGCTGCGGGCAAAGGGCAGAACGGTATCGCACCAAGGCCGCCTGCCCAACAAAACACACTCACACGCGTACACACATGCCTCCCCCCCTCACACACACGCACACACACGCACACACACACACACACACACACCGGGCACTGGTCATTGGCCACCCCTCCCCGCAGGCACTGGTGATTGCCGCCTGCTGCACACGGCACAAGGCGCACGCAGGGACCACACTGCACACTCACTGCACATGGCGCGGCGGCCCTTCCGGTGCGCACCGCCGCTCCTTATTCGCCTGCAGCGCTGCAAGCCGAGCGCCGCCCCCGCAGGCCAGCCGTCCTTGGGACCTGCATGATTTTCGCGGCGCCATGTGGCGGCGCGTCTCATTCAACTGCACACCGATGCACAAAGTACGCACATGACCTTTGGGCGTGCAGGCGGGGCAGCAAGGCTCCCACACGCCCAGCACCCGCCGCGCCCTCGACGCCCAACAAACGCTTGTGTACATATTGCGGCACGCCTTTACCCCGTGCGACGACGGGCGGCGCCGTGGGTTTGTTGCAAAACCTGCTGTTTTACCCGCATATCGCGACGGGTGTTGTGGAGAGTGGCGCAGTGCGCGGAAGACCCCTGGGTCGAGGACACGTGACTCAATCGTCGGCCTGTTTCTTTTTCGCCTTGCTTGTGTTGCGCTTTTCATTTTGTTGACGCAGCTCCCGGCGTCCTGTACGCGGGCCGCTGTATTCATGACTATTGGTAGCTCGTAATCAATCCCTCAAGTGCTGTCACGCACCTCACACACAAAGGGGTTGTGGTGTTGGGTCTTCACGCTTGTAACAATCTGCATCAAAGGCAGGCGAGTTAGACTGCAAGGATCCAACACAGTGAGTCAACTGAACGGGTCACGATATGCCTTGCGCAGAGGCGCCCTTTGCCTACCTGTCTGCTGCCAGCGCTCAAGGGCCCGTGCGCAACAAAATCGTTCAAAGTGGCACTGGCTGGTCAAGCGCAAAAGAATACTCTCAACTGGATCCTGTACCTGGCCACCCAAAGTGACGTGGGCTGACTACAAGAATCAGCTCCAGTCTCCGTTGTCACCTGGCTCACTTGATCACAGCACGGGCAGCATGCGGTGGCCAGCGGGAAGCGGGCGGGAAGGGCTTAGCGAGGCCACATGCAGGTGTGCTGCTGTACACCAGCGCGCGCAGCTAGACATCTTCACATCGATCCAACAATAGCGAGCACCTTGTCGACAAGTTCTCTCAGGCTTTGTAGAACTGATCTGAGCACAGGGCCTCGCATAGCAGCAGAAATGAGCGGCTACGGGCAGTTCAACACGACTGCGGACCTGGGTTGTGAGTACACCTGCGGACAGTGCGGCGTGGACACGCGCCTGAAGTCGGGGGAGCCCATCCAGTGCAAGGAGTGCGGATACAGGTAAAAGACATCAGTAGAATTGAATCCATGTATCGACTGGTGACCGGTGCTGGGACGGCAGGGCGTATGCACGCCTTGAAGCGCTGCCGTCCCGCCGCCGCCGCCCGCTGCCGCTGCGCATCTGTACAGCGCCAGCCCCTGAACCTCCCTCGCCTTCAAATCAACCTCAGAATCCTCTACAAGAAGCGGACAAAGCGCGTGGTGCAGTTTGAGGCGAGGTGATGGGGCTATCGAGCAGCAGCTTTGACTTGCAGCGCTCGACAGCAGCTTCACGCCATGCACATCAACTTGGTGCGCTGAACAAGCACACATCGGAGCCGCCATCACTGTTCGCGGTCACCTCATTCAAGCAGTCACAGCGTCTGTGACTGCTTGGGTGCACGTGTGGGGCACCGCAGCAGTTGCTACTACTGCAGCATCAACAGTTTGGCGGCGCCATTTTGTACATGACCACCCGCTGTTCGTATTTTTCGTGGCTGGAACCCGAACGAGGAAGGTTATGCAGGTCACTACGCAAATGTGTAACCGCAGAACCCCTGCATCAGTGTTGTGGCGTTTGGTGGCGCCAAGGGTACAAGCTACAGGGGGCAGGCAGCCGCTATTTGTACAGGGGCGCACCCACAGCAGCGGGCAGCGGGTGCAGCGAGGCGCAGGCAGGGAGCGTGCGCGCGCGTTCTAGCTGATTGCAGGGGCCGCATGCACGGGCGGCATGGCAGCGCAAGCCGCAGCAGCTCGAAATTGCGGCGGGGGCAAAACTGTTCGGTGCACCGCTGGTTGAGAAACCCTGGGTGTGTGCAAGCCCACCCCTGGGGCTAGGAGAAGGGGCGACGCACGCACGGTAGGGTGGCGCAGCCGCCGAGGCCACAGGCCGCAAAAACGGCCAGCCACCCGCAGCAGCCCGCAGTGTGGCGGCGGGCCCACTCTGTCTGATGCCAACTAAGGGGGCGCCTTGGCCTGGTATATGAACTTGTAAATGCTGCTGAAGTCCAGCGGGCCGCTCTCCGCGGTTGCATCCACGACCTGGGCCAAGGTGCGAGTCGACGTCGCGGCGCAGTCGCACAGCATGACGCGTGGCGTAAGAGCACGCCAGCGGGTGGGCCGGCCAGCGCACGCAGCGCAGGCGGGCCACTGGACGGGAGGTTCACCGCGCACGACAGCCCCCAGTGGACCCCCCGCAGTCTGCGCCATGCGATCAGCCGCGTCCCCCTGAATGCGCCCACCGTGCGGTAGAGCTGGGCCACGTTTTGGGCCATGGGTGCGGGGCTGCTGGTGGCGGAGGCCAGCTGCATGGCCAGGCGTAGGTCCTTGAGCATCAGCTGGTGGGGCGACAGAGGCACACAGACAAACAGAGTGGAGAAAGGAATTGGGAGTGGCGTGATGCGTGAGGCGGTGAGGCGAGGCGAACATGCGCCACAGGGGGCAAGCAGGCACACTCATGCCTGAATTGATTGACCAGTGTAAGCCGGTGTGGGTGCACAGGTGGCATGCGTCGCGAAGCCATGGGCTGATAACGGCAACGGCAGACGAAAACGCAGCCAGGCAGAGGCGCCCGATTCACACGGGGTCTCTCGTTTTGTTGGGCTTGAAGGCGGCGCTCGGTGGTTCAAGGGCTGCACGCCGGCAGGGCGCGCACCCCTTGCAGCATGCAGCACATCCCTGGCGCCCGCAGGAGGGCGCCGCACCTGAGCGCTGAAGCCGCCGGCGTAGCCCTTTGAGGACGGCACGTCAGGCATCACACCCTGCGGCCGGCAGCGCAAGGCGTGTTGGGTTGGGTGGCGTGTTGGGTTGAGTGGGCCCCCGGTGACGTGGGGGCTCAGACCGAGGACCAAAAACAGGCATGCGGCATGCACCATTATGTCTGCATCTCCATTCAGCGCCCTCCCCATGCGCCGACCCCTGCATCCAGCGGGCAGCACACAAGCAACGGGAGCGAGCCGCTGCCCACCGGCACTGGGGAGTAGCACTCAAGGGACCAGCAGCGCGCGCTGCTGCCGTTCATGACAGCAGACAGCTGCTTCGGGTCTAGGCCCAGGGACGCCCCCAGCGCCAGCGCCTCGCTCACGCCGGCCATCTGTATCCCTGCGCAGACGCGCAGGTGCGTTTCAGCGGGACGAGCGGGCGCCGCGCGAGCGCCTGTCAGGGGGTGCGGCGGACCTTCACACGCAACGAGGGCAGGCGAGCGCCCAACCATCTACGCGCAGGTGCGAGCTCAAACGCTGGGGGCCGTCTTGCAGGAGACGAGGAAGCTGGGCAGGTCACCATCTTTTCCATCAAGGTTCAGCCCGCAAGGCGCAAAAACAAAAGGGCATGGGACGCACCCAGGCAGACGTTGTTGCACAGCTTGGCGGCGTGGCCCAGCCCCGCCTCCCCCAGGTGCACCACATTGGTGCCCATTGCATCAAGCAGCGGCCGCGCGGCGGCGACCGCCTCGGTGGGGCCCCCGACCTGGCGCGTGTGGCGTGTGGCGCGTTGTGTGGGGTGTGCGATGTGCAATGCATGATGAGAGGCGCGCGGTGGGGGCAAAGCAGGGTGCCGGGGAGTGTGGGCGTGTGTGGAGCGATCAGAGCAGGCAACGTCGCAGGCGTGTCTCGTTGGCTGCGGGCGTGCGCAAGCGTCTGATCCCACTTCGGACTGCAGGATTCACGAGCCCAAAAGGCAACAACGCCAAGCGGGGCTTGCGCCCACAGCCAGGCTTGCGCCCACAGCCAAGGCCGCCTTGATCTCATAACAGGGCGCCATTGCGCTGCTGGGGTCACCCCCCTCCCAGCGCCCACCATGAACGTGAGCGTTGCGTTGCTGGCGGCCAGCACGCCGCCAGACACAGGCGCGTCGATCAGGCGCGGCGTCGGCGCCGCGTGCGCGAGCCAGGGCATGTCGGTGCGCGGCGCCTGCGCAGCCAGGCGGTGGCGTGCGACGCGCTTCGCCAGCTCTTGGGTATACCTGTCCGAGGTTTGGTATGAGGGATCACGAGGTTCAAGAAACGGGTCCAGCATACGCGGCGGCGGCTCTCAAGCCGGCGAAGAGGTCAGAGGACGGCGGCGACCAGGCTGGGGCGTTGCTGCCCCTGATCGGGCGCGGGCGCGGGGTCACGCAGACATAGCCGCATCTCACGCAGCCGCAGCTCGTACGGCCGCGGCTCGCTCGACCATGCTGGCAACGTTGCCCCGCATCATTGAGGCCACTCACAGCGGGGAGATGGTGCTGCAGTCGATGAGCAGCGGCGGCTGCAGCTTGCCCGCGCGCAGCACGCCGTCCGGGCCCTCAAACGCGTCCTGCACGTGCTCCGTGGACGGCAGCATCGTCAGCACAACCGACACACCTGCTCCCGGGCGGCGATTGATCGGAAAGGGGGAGCATGGCTGTCGGGCGCAGCAGGTTTGCAGGTTTGGGCGGGGGCGGCGGGGGCACAGGGCGCGCAAGCCAGGCGACACTGCCGCGCAGGCAGCAGCTTCGCTGCCTGCTGCAGCACTTCATAGACAGCTCTGACCCGTTCGTTGGCAATGGGGGGGGCGGGCCACTCAGCCTCCCTGGACTGCCACCAAATGAGAACATCAAATGCCCCTCGAAACCCCATCATCACACATGCAGATGGTCGTTTGCTGCCGTCACGACTGCATTAACCACGCCTAAGTGCCTACCCGGGGTTTCAGCGATCTCCCGCGCTGACTTGGCCGCCCGCGCCCCCAGCTGCTCCAGCTTCGCCACAGCTGCTGGGTTGCGGTCAACAACGATGATCTGGTGGCCCGCACGTATGAGCGACGCCGCCATGGGGCCCCCCATGTTGCCGACGCCGATGAAGCCTATTGTCTGGGACGCTGCCGCCGGCCGTGGCGCCGCCGCGCTGGCGGTGCGGGGTGGGGCACCGCCCGGCGCGGGCGGCGCGGCGGGCGGGCCCCAGGTGGAGATGGCGCGAGCAGCGGCAGGGGCAGCCGCGCGCATCAGCGGCGGCTGCAAGGCACCCAGAGACGCCGCACATGCTGCCAGGGCGCTGCGTATCACAGCCATTGGCGCCGGTGCCGCAGTGCGCCGCGCGCCACCCCGACAGGCGGGCCGTGCACGATGGAGCTCGACGCAGCGCCGCTGCAGCAGAGTAACACAGTGGCTATCAAGTAAGAAGTCTCTCTACGTACACACCAACACACTTGCGCCTATTAATAGAAGCCCTTGAGCGAGTGCTGGCGTGGCCAATGGTGTCGACGCGGCCCTTGTACGATGATTGTATGCAGCATCGGGCGCAATCACGACTGCAAGATATATCTCGTCACCAACCACGTGTTGACCACAGTGCTGATGTCGGCGTTCCAGATCTCACCCCGGCACGGTCACCGCCGCACTTGTCGCGCATCGGATCATGCAGCGGTCAACAATTTACAACCATCGGAGACCTTGAAGTGGCGCGCAAGCAATCATGTCGATGCTTCCGCTGCTGCCTGTGCACGCTCGCCTGTCCCCCCACCCCGCTTAGGACGCACAGACGCTTACAGGTGCGGCCACCTGAGCCAGGTGACCCGCGGTTCGGCGAAGCTATTTTGAAATGTACATGACTTACTTTTCAAGACTTGCAGCTGCGCCAGGTTCCAGACACATGCAGCCATGGCTGTTGCGGCATCAACATAGTGACCACGACGCTTACGACGACAATGCACCCGCTGCCGCGCGGCGTTCAAGCGCGCTGGCCGCGTCCTTGTGTTACCCGAGCGGGGCCAAAGTTCGCTGTCATCCCCACGCCTCCATCCCGCCGCCGGCGGCCCCGCCGCAGCTAGCCCAGGTTCGGCCACAGGCCCATGACCGAGTAGCCGCCGTCCACCGCGAGCGTCTGCCCGGTGACGTACGACGCGGCCGGCCCCACGAGGAACGCCACCACCGCCGCAACCTCGGACGGCTCCGCGACGCGGCCCAGGGGGGTGCGCGCCAAGACCTTGGAGCGGAACTCCTCGTTCTGCAGGACCTGCGGGCATGGGTACAACGCGGCATGCAGTGTTCAGCAAGCTGACAAAATACAAGCCTGGACGTCACCGTGGACGGGCATGCGCAGGGTGAGTCCCATCGGCAGTCAGGGCGCTGTCAGCGTGCGGCTGGTGGAGTGCCACGGTCCTCGTCCGTGCGCCCTTGTGCGGCGGGTGTCCTGGCCCGACCCCATGCACACCTGGTTGGCCAGGGGTGTCGCCGTGTACCAGGGCGCCACCGCATTGGTCCTTATCCCGTCCGCTGCGGCGCGTCCCAACCCGAGTGTGCCAAAGCGAGGCGCGAGGTCAGTGGGGGGGAAAGACGGCAACAGCCGCATGCCCTGCTGGGCAGGCCGTTGCGCGCGTCCGCTCCTTGGCCACGCTGATTGCGGAGACTGCATCTGGGGGGCGCCCGTGGCGCTCCTCACCTGCCCACTCCACCGCGAGGTTCTTCGTCAGCTGGTTGAGGGCCGCCTTGGTCTGAGAGTTGCACGGGCGAAGGTGTGGTTCGCAATGGGAAGGTGTTGACCGCGTTGCTTAGACACGAATGATTACGAGGACACGACCCAGGTGCCAGCCGCAGGTCTGCCTGCCAGAGGTCCAGTCACTCCCTCACTCAGGCTGCACGCGCAAGCGAGCACTTGGTCTGGCTGCAAGCCTGCGGCACGGCGCCTGGTGGCCTGGAGGCAGGGGGCGCACCATCGCGTATGGTGTTCCAGAAAACATGCCTAGAGGGCCCCCCGCGACGGAAGAGTTGAACACCACGCTCGCGCCGCCGCCGGCCGCCTTGAGCAAGGGGTGCGCCAGCTGCGACAGGTGGAAGGCTGACCGGAGGTTGGTGGTCAACACCCAGTCAAGATCATCGGGGGTGATATCCACACAGGGCTTGCGTATGTTGGTGCCGACGTTGTTGACTGCAGGGCAGGGGTGCGGGGAGTGCGTGTGTATAGAGGCGGGTTTGTGAAGGCGCAGCAGAGTGAGTGCTGGCGGCACAGCCAGGATGCGTGACGCCTCAGATGGTGGGTGAATCGCAGCCGCGCCGTCTTGATTGCTGCATGCTGCAGCGGCAGTGCCGCTCACTCAGCACGTCGAGCTTGCCGCCAAACGCCGCCGACACCTGTGAAAACACAGCGAATAGCGGTTGCGTGCCGTGCCTGAGGTACGCTCTCCAATTGAAGGGTCGCGCAAGGAGTTGGCGGCCAGCCGCCTGGCGCCAAGAGCTTGGCTGTCAGCTGCCGCATTCGCAGCCGGCTGCTGCGCGGCTCGCGGGGCACCGCGTGCCCGTGTGTGTGCGGCGCACCAGCCGGCCGTGCCCTGCGCACGCGGGAGGCTCCACGCACCCTGACGATCAGCTCCTCGCACTGCCGCCGCTCTGAGACGTCTGCCACGGATCCCTGCGCGGCGATGCCCTGCGCCCGCAGGTCGGCCAGCGCTGCGCCGAGCTCATCCGCGTTGCGGGAGCAGATGTAGACCTTTGAGGAGGATCACGAGGACGCGCACCAGCGGTCAGGGGGGAGGGCGCGAGCCGATTTGCATCACATGTGTGATGGCGAAGTGGCGCGGGGCTTGCCCACGCAGCACCCAGTCGCCCCGCTGTTCTGCCCGGCGCGCCGCTCGCTTCGTGGCTCATTCCGGGCACTGCACAAGCGGCGTGACGCCATCGCCCCCGTGCCAAGTCGCACCTCTGCTCCCAAGCTGCCGAGCTCCTCGGCAATGGCTCTGCCAATCCCCTGCGCACGTGTGATGCAGCCGGCACACAAGCAGTGGGGGGCCACGATCAGACACAGTGGAGGCCACTCCCTCTCAACGCAACGCGTCCCCGTTCCAGGCTGTGGTGGTCTTGATGAAACGCACCTTTGTGGCGCCCGTGACGAGGGCTGTCTTGCCAACTAGCCCAAATCGGCGGAGTGCGGCAGAGGCGGGCGATGCCGCCGCAGTGGACGATGAGGGCTCGGTTGACATGGCCGCACGTGTGCAGAACTGGCTGCAGTTCTGGTGTCAAGAATTTCAATATCGTAAGTGCAAAGAGCAATGTGCCAGGCAATATGCTCTTGTAGAAGCCGCGGCAGGAAAATTTTGCATGACATGTTCACAGAGTCAAGTGCCAAAGCGAAGGGAGCGAGATCGGCGGGAGGTTGCAGCTGAATATGAAGGGCGTAACCTCTTACCGAACACTTTCGCTCCGAGTTTGTTGGAAGGCCCTTGTTGGGCACCGCAGGGCAGCGAGTCTCTCAACGCTCCCTCCGGGAACGGGATCAGGGGCCTTAGTACGCTTTACTCGGGCTAAAGGAGTAGTTTCTCGCCATGTGAGCTGACAACTCGGGCTTTCGGCCAAAGATCGCGGGTCTGGGCCAACAGCGGGCCAGGGTCGCCATTTTTTGTGGTGGTGTATGGCCCATCAGCGCTGCACAGGTGCTTGTGTGTAATTTTCTGCGCCTCATAAGGTCTCATGTGGCGCCTGCGAAGCCATGCCGCCACCCGCCAAATGCTGCGCGGCGCGCGCGCAGGGCGACGGTCACAACGCACTCGGATAAGGCGCCCTGGACCGACCCCAGGTGGGCGGGGATCAAGTGGACGATCTACCGCGGCGTGGCGTACGACATTTCGGGCTTCATGGACCGCCACCCAGGCGGCCAGTGGCTGATCAACCTCGCGGTCGGCCGGGATGCCACAGGTGGGGCCCCGGTCGCATCAGCTGCGGCTGGACGTTGCAGGAATGCGTGGGACGGCCACCGCACCCTGAATGACAGCACCGGTCGGCATCGCGGCGCGCAGCGCGACGCCAACACGCCCGCGGCTGCGGGCACCTTGCATGAACAGCACCGCCAGAGCCTTTCGGGCGGTTTGTCCAATTGCTGGCGGCCAGCCACGCCCGCGCATCACCACGTCGAAAGCGCCCGCCCGGCCCCACCCTGAGGCGGCCTCACATCGCCCCACATCGCCGCACGCATCTCGCACCCCGCAGCTCTCTTCGAATCGTACCACCTCCGCCACGACGTCGCGGCCGCGGTGTTCCAGAAGCTGCCCGTGCTCAATGGCTTCCCGGTCAACAGCGTGCCGCAGGCGCCGCGCCCCAACGACTCGCAGCTGTACGTGTCGATTAAGGACAGGTGCGGGCGGCGCCGGCGCCGACGCCGGTGTATCACGCGCGGCAGCGGTTTAGGGGTAGCGACGGTACGGCCCTGGAGCGGCGCGCGGCGCTTCGCAGGCGGCAGCGGTTGGGGTGCAGGGACGGCAGGGCAATGGCGGCAGAGACCGGCGGACGGCAGGGGTGCGGTGGGCTTCGCGGCCATGCGCCTGTCCAGAGAACGAGGCGCTGTGCACAGATGGGATCCTTCATGCACGGCGATCTCTTTAATGTGGCCAACGGTGGCGCTTCGCTCGCCATCCCTCGTCCTCCAAACGGCAGGGTGCGCAAGGAGGTGTTCCGCGGCAGCGAGAACCGCGGCGCCCACCGCCGCGGCAGCGAGCTGGCGGCGCTGTCCGTGCTGACCTTTGCGGTCATCACCTACTACCTCTACGCCCGCTGGACCGGATTCGTGACGGGCCTGCTGTTCGGTGCGCCCCTCGCGGCCCCTGCGCCGGCCGGGGTTGGCATGCGCCGCGCGTCTTGCCTGCAGCCGGCAACAGCATGTCCAGCGGCCCGGGCGGACGCGGCCGTGCGGGCTGGTACCATCGCCTTCGCAGCTGCGTGCCCGCTGACACGCGCGTTGCGGCCCTGCGGTCGCAGGGGTGGCTGGCGCGTGGATCGGCGTCACCATCCAGCACTGGTGAGGGGGCCGCGGTGCGGCTGGGCTCGTCCAGTGTTGTGGCACTGACTCTGCCTGCACTGAGCCGTGCTGCATCACTATCGCACTTTTTCAAGAGGGGGTGAGGTCCATCATTCTGCTCACACGCACGCCTCGACGACCTCCCGCGTCCCCCTCCCACTGTGGTCCCCTAGCGGCAACCACGGCGCCATGAGCACGGTCCCCCTGGTCAACGTGCTGCTAGGCATGTGCAACGACCTCATCGGCGGCGCCTCGCTGACCTGGCGGTACCACCACCAGGTGCGCCGCGGCCGCGTGCTGAGGCGCGCTCGGCACGCAACGCGCCACGTGGCTTTCGCAGGCGTGGCTCTCAACCTGGCGCACACCACGAGCTCCACACCAGTGCCCGCCCAGCGTGCTGCAAGGGCCCAACGCCATGATTATGCGGCTGGCCTTCTGCAGTATTCGCTTGCCCCCCACCCGGCCCTTGCTGTACGCTGTCCGCACACTACAGTCCCCTTCACCACAACAACACATGTACACATGCGCGCACACACACACTCACACCCAAACACACCTGCAGGTGTCTCACCACATCCACACCAATGACGAGGTCCTGGACGAGGACGTGTGCTCCATGTACCCCCTGCTGCGCTTCGACAACCGCCTACCGCGCCTGTGGTGCGCGCCACGCCTCCGGCGTCGGCACGGCCTTGATCAGGGACAGCCCCCTGCCAGTCGGGCTTGGTACGGCTCACTGCCCTAGGCGATGCAAGTTGCTGCTGCAAACCCGCCCACCCAAGACCACCAGTCAGCCGCGCACGCCAGGCGCCCTGCGCTCGTTTTGACCATGCTCCCCTCTGACTGCGCCGCGCAGGTTCCACCGGTGGCAGCACCTCTACGTCTGGGCGGCCTACCCGGCCCTGCACCTGGCCTTCCAGCTGGGCGACTTCGCCTCCCTCGTCACCAACAAGACCGTCGGCGCGGAGCTCCTGGGCGCCACCAAGCTCGGTGCACGGGGCCGCTGCACGCACCCACTCGCTCCCACCCGCAAGCGCCGCCACGTCAGCCTGCGGCTCCCCCCTCCCCTGCCTTGTGCCGCCGGAGGCGTTGCCCTGTCACGTGGCCGCCCCTCGCTCCCATACGCACCCACACGCCCACGTCCTCTAAACACGCGCCACGCATTCTCCCTCTCCTCGTCCACCACCACACGCACACCCCGACCCCCAGAGAAGTCCACCCTGGTCCTGGGCAAGGCCGTGCACTACGCGCTGCTCCTGGTCCTCCCCTGGGCGCTGCACGGCCCCGCCGCCACGCTGCTGGGCGCGGCCGGCTACAGCACCACGCTCTCCATCATCCTGGCCATGGTGTTCTTCGTGAGCCACAACGTGCCGCAGTCAAAGCCGCTGCCGGCGGGGGGGGACACCAAGGGCGTGCTGTACCAGGATGTGGCGGACCGCGACTGGGGCGTGCAGCAGGTGGGTGACGGCTCTGGGTGCGCCGCGCAGCGGGACGTGCCAGGCCGCCGTGGTGGGGGTTCTGTCATTGGAGGTTGCCGAGCGGGGCTCAAGCAAGCGCTCTCTGGGGGCGCTCGGGCAGGCGCATGCGTGAGCGTGCACACCCGCAGCGCTGTGGGGATCACGGCTGCGACCTGTGGCAGGGCTGGCGCAACGATTGCGGGCCTCGATGGCACCACCTCCTGCGCCGCAGATCCTGGCTAGCTGCTGCTGGGGCGACACCGTCGGCAACTTCTTCACAGGCGGCCTCAACCTCCAGGTGCGCCCGGCTGCACCCCCTCGGCTCGTTTGGGCCCGGCTTGGACATGGGTATTTCATCGCCGCTCGCCCTCTGCAAATATCTTCACCTGACAATAAAGCGCCTGAGTCCCCAGGTTAATTGGGCACTTGCCCGCCAAAAGTTGGCGTTGAACTGCGCGTGCCCATTCGCCACGCCCCGCCCTCCAAACGGCCCCCAAACTTCCTCCCGCCAGATCGAGCACCACCTGTTCCCCGCCATCTCCTTCGTGCACTACCCCGCCATCGCGCGCATTGTGCGCGACGAGTGCTTCCGCCGCAACGTGCGCTACACCCACTACAAGTCCCTGTGGGGCAACCTGTCGGGCTTCCTGTGCTGCATGAAGCAGCTCGGCTCGGCGCCGGACGAGCCGGCCGTGCGCGCGGCGGTCAGCGTCCGGGGCGCCGGCGGGAAGGCCAAGGCTACGTGAGGCTGGGGCTGGGTGGGATGCGACGGATGTTGCATCAGTGTGGGCAGGGCTGCAATGAGGGGGGCCGCGCCATGGCGCCCCTCTTGGGTGCGAGGGGCCCTGGACTGGAGCCCGCGTCAGGACTGTCATGCCCGTCGCTCCGCCTGCCCGCGCCCCCGCGCGCGCGGGCGGCCGGCGGACAGTTGAGCAATGTGGGGGCGTGTACATGCGCGCCCGCGGGCGCGGCCCGAGCCGCCTGGCCCCTTGGTTTGGCGGGGGGCGCGCCCCTGTGCGATGGTTTTGCGTTGATGCAGAGCGGTGGCTTTGCAGTGCTCACTTGGGGCGGCCCTTCGCCTGTTCGGACGCCTCTTCCAAGGGCCAAGCGACGGCGGCCACCTACGCGTGCAGCTCTTTCCGCGGTTGCCGTGCTTCACATAGAGAGTGCTCGTGCTGGCTTTGGTCGGCGCCTCCTGGCCGCTCGCCACGGGGTTGCTCCTGTTGCTGTCTTGAGCCTGCGCTCAATTGCAGAGCAGCCCGATACTGGGAACGGTGGTTCCGCTGTCGCCTCGTCTTTTTTTACCTCCACATTGAATTGCTGCAGTCAAGCCGTCAAGCCGTCAATTATTTTCGTCCGTGTGTGCGCACGTGTGCGACCCTAGGCCAAACCCCTCTCGACATCTTGCATCGAGCATCAATTGTGCTTCGTAGCCTCTGCTGTGGCGTCCGTTTCAGGCGGCGAGGCAAGCTCTGCGGGCAGGAGCCGCCTGCACCGCCCCCAGGGCGCCTCGCGACGCTCAACGTCTTCGTCCATCCCATGAGTTTCCAGGCGCTGCGCCGCTGCATCGCCGGTGCGCTCTGACTTATCCCCAACAAACCAGGCTGCTCCGCTTCTCATTTAGCGGCTGGCCCTCAAAATTTGCACGCTTGCCGGTGCGCCGGCCCACAACCTAGCACCAAGCACTACCAACATGTACCGGTAACTGGTCAATCTTTGACGCATGCTGGCCTCCCGGAGCGGGTTGAAGCAAGCCAGCATTGGTGGGCAAGGAGAAGCCGGCGGCGTCGTGCAAGTGCCCAGCAAGCAGGGGTTTGCACTGGGCGGAGGGCAAGCAGCCATCCATCCTTGCAAGTGGACAATTGATCAGGGCAGGCGTGAAGCACCAGCAGGCAGCGCACCAGAACTTTATTTGGTTTCAATCAATCAGCATATAACATGAAACGTGTGTTTTCCGGCCGCGTATGAGCGCAGGGGTGTGCACGGGTCAGGCAGTGATGACCCGAACTGCAACGCCTGTCATGTTCTTCGGCAGACATTGTTGTTTTAGTGACATGGCCATGCGTTAAAGAGATATGCATGACGAGTCTCGGGGCCGGTCAAGCGAGCTTGCCCTCCCTGCGGACACGGCCACAAGATGTTCTAGACCTTATTGTAGACATATACGAAGCTCTTGCAGACACAAGCATCGCACAGGTCCGCAGCGGACCAATGATGGCGAGCGCAGCAGCTCGCATTGCCGCAGTACTGCATAGATGCAGTACTGCGCAGATGCAACGAATGCGTGCCTTGTTATGTACACCATACCTCGTCCTCCCCCGGCGCGCAGGCGGTTCAAGAAGCAGGATTCGTTGTACGGGAACAGGCTGCAGACACGACCCCTCCCGCCGTGCACGGCAGTGAGCCCGCAGCAGCAGTGGCCAGCCAACAGGGCGGCTGCGCAGGCACGGGGGAGGCCGCAGCGGAGACAGCAGAGGCGGCACCAGGAGCAGCAGCCGACGGAGAAGCGCTAGACTTTGAGGAGCAGCTTCTGGCCGCAGAGGAGGCTGGGAGGGCTGCGTCGCGGCACCACAGGGAGGAACCAGCAGAGCCGGAGAGCAGCGGCAGCGCCTGGGGAGGGCGCGCCGAGGACCGACCACAAGGCACAGGCGCCTGGGCTGCGGCCGGGCCGGGCACAGGAGGCGGCATGCGCAGCGGCCGCACCGCCACCACGCGCAGCAGCCTGTCTTTTGGACAGGAGGACGAACAGGACGCAGGGGCCGGGGCGGGCGATGGCGGCGATGGTGGCGGCGGCGGCGGCGAGCCGCTGCGCGGGGCTGCCGCCGATAGTTCGCCCGTGGTGAGCGCTGTTGGTTCAGTACCATTCGTCACAATTTAAGCGCTTGCAGCACCCAACAAATGGGCGAACCAAGCCGCACCACTCCAAAGCGCCACACGCAACGCTCACCGCCTCCTGCCGGCCCCCTCACTCCGCCCCATCCCGCGCCGCCGCAGCACCTGAAGCGCCAGGTGCAGAGCCTGCTGCAGCGCACAGACTCGATGCTCAGCCGCAGCAGCGACCGCAGCACCACCCGCCAGCGCAGCGCCACCACGTCGGAGCACAACATACAGGCGCCGGCCCTCGGCCACGCGCAGGCGCCGAGCCCCTTGGAGACCCGCGAGGGCTTTGGGTTTTTGGAGGATCACCCGGACCACGACGCCGCAGAGACGCCGACCCTGCGCGGCAACGGCGGCGCCGCAGCAGCGCTGGGGCTGCGCAGCCCCAGCATCCGGCGGCGCGCGGTCGCGTTCGAGGACGCCGGGGGCGGCGGAGGCGGCAGCAGCAGCCGCTTCGGCGGGACGCCGTTTGGCCAGTCGCTGGCCTCCTCGGCGGCAGTCCCCAGCGGCGGCGGCCGCGGGGCGCTTCAGCTGTCTTCATCGTTCCAGCGGCGTCGGCTGTCCCAGACCTCCGACACGCCAAGCATGCATTCGCCGGGCAGCGACGTGCAGGGGGTGGGCGGGCTGGGGGGCCTGGCGCGCTACGCGCCGACCAGCCGGTCCCCATCTCAGGCTGCACTCAACGAGATGGCAGACAGGTGAGAGGTTCAACGTGTGAAAGCGCCCAGCACGCTCACGTGCACTGCATGCCCACGGCGCGCCGGCTGACCGGCCGGGCGTTTGCGACACCCTGTGGTGTTGGAGGGACAGCGGCGGGGTTGAGGGTGGTTGGGTCGACGGCGCCCCCGACGCGCGCATCGCTGACGGCTGATGACGTCATCGTCCCCCCCCCCCCAGGGACGGGGACGAAGGGACGCGGTGCGCCAGCCCGTTCTCGCAGCGCGCCTCCCCCTCGCCCTCGCCCTCCCCCGACCGCGCCTACGACAGTGGCGCGTCGGCAGACCGCACCACGGTGGTCCTCGGCAAGAGCGCCTCCTTCCAGGTGCAGCGCGACAGGGACCGCTCCGCGTCCGCGGCCGCCGCCGACGGCAGCGGCAGCGGCGGCGGCGAGGGGCGGCGCGCGACGCACTACCAGAACTTTGCGCCCCTGGAGGATCTGGTCAACGCGGTCGTGACGGAGAGCGTCCGCAGATCTTCCGCGGCGGCGATGACGTCGATGGGCGGCGCGAGCGCCGCGAGCGGCGGCGGCGGGGCTGGCGGCGGCGGAGCGGGGGCGCCTGCGCTGTCGGTGCGCAAGGGAGTGCTGCCAATGCTGCAGCCCGAGTTCATCCTCACGCCGAAAGTGTCCAGGTGGGTTTTGAGGCATCATGGCTTTGGCTGATTTAAGCTTGTCGTAAGCTGTCAAATGCTGTCGGCCAAGTATGAAATGCAAGTCGGCCATCACAGTATTGAAAATGCCACCTGAAATGCTGTTTGCCTTTTGCTGCGCCCGTCTGCATGCTTGACCGGTCAACACCCGGACGACCTGCGCCTGCTGCTGCAGGCTCAAGGCTGAGCTGGCAATGCTCGCTCGGCGCCAGCCGCCGCAGCTGCTGCGATTTGAGGAGCAGTTGGAGCGCGTGGTGGCGCGGCTGCAGGGGTTTGACGAGCTCGACTGCGCCTCTGGCAAGGTGCGGCGGCTGCGCGAGCCCGAGTCCGTGCAAGATGCGGACTCCTCGTGTCCAGTGGGGATACACCACACTCAGGTTTTTTTCACTCAGGTCTTTTTGTCCCACCTGCCTCAGCGTAGCTAGGAGGTTCCAGAATGGGACATCCAGGCTGGTGCTACATACTAAGAGAGTAAAGGCCTTGGAAACCTCCCCGCAGAAGTTTCGCAACCTGCTGGACTCTCTGCTCGACGGCGTGTTTGCCCGCGCCTCCCCGAGCGGCCGCGGAACGGCGGGCCCCGCGCCTCAGAGGGTTGCAGCTGTAGGTGGGGCCCAGCAGCAGCCCGCCCACCAGCAAGACACGGCGGCGACAGCGCCCCGCACCCGCCGGACCACGCGACAGGTGGAGTACGCCGGCCTCGCGTCGCTGGCGGCGGCGCCTAACAGGCGGGCTCCAGCGGTGGCGGCGCTCAAGGAGCCCGTGCAGACGATGGAGGCCGCGTTTGCAAAGCTCATGGCGGGCCAGGCGGCGCTGCGAGGCGCGGCGCTGGGCGCAGGGGACGGGGCCGGCGCCCACACCTTGGGCGCCCGCAGCAGCGTCGGCGGCCCGGGGCCGGTGGCGCCGGACGGCGGGGGGCGGCGTGCGTCGGCGTGTGGATCACCCGAGATTGGCATAAGCCCGGCGGTGAGCAGGACCAGCAGCATGGTCGGCCCTGCACCCGGCCATGTGACCGCTGGCGGAGCGACAGGTGTTGTGGCTCGTTTGCTGCAGCACGTGGAGCCGGCAGGAGCGGTCCCCGCCTCGCTACCGGCTGATGTGGTTGACGCCAGCAGGAGGGCGACGCAAGAGCAGCTGGCCGGCGCTGGCGTGGCGCGCAACAGCCAGCTCCAGCGGTGGCAGCAGCAGCAGCAGCAGCAGCAGCAGCAGCAGCAGCAGCAGCAGCAGCAGCAGCAGCAGCAGCAGCAGCAGCAGCAGGGCGCAGCTGCAGCCTGCGCGGGGCCCATAGACGATGGGCAGCCACAACAGCCTCCCTGCCAGAACAGGGCAGCCATGGCAGAGGCGGTCGCTGCTATTGTGGCTGCACGCTCCCCCAGTCCCGTCAATGTGCGAGAGGCGCTGGCCGGGGTGCACGCGGAACCCGTGCTGCGCAGCTGCTGCGGTCAGTGGGTGCACCCGGCGGCGCCCTCGCAGCTGCAACAACACAGGGACCAGTGCCACTGCGCTGACGCAGGCGCCGCACTTGCTCCAAGCACAGGCGCCGAAGCCAGGCGTCGAAGCAGCGCCGACTCTGTAGTGGGGGCGCGCTCGCCCCGCGACTGGCGGTTCAGCGA